TGTAATCCCACTTACTTAAGGTGGGAGGATAGCTTGAGCTCAGGAGTTTGAGACTGTGGTAAGCCGTAATCATGCCACTATACTCCAGCCTAGGCAACACAGTGAGAACCCAACTAAAAAAAAAAAAAAAAAAAAGGTAAATAAATAAAATTTCTGACAATTTTCCCCCAAAAAATAACACCAAGGACACATTAAAATTATTTATACAGGCTTTGTTCTTGGATATACAGACTGAATATTTTAAGTGTATATTGCTGGGAGCCAACATCTATAGCTACATGGCTGAGGCCTGTAAAGGCCCATCTGGAAGATCGCCTCTGACATAGGATATCAGTTATACCTATAATATTGGCGTGTGATTAGTGACCAGTGTGCATACATGGCAGTAAAACTTATAAGTAAATCTCAATACACCTGATGGAAAGTGCTAGCAGAATTATTTCTCTCTGTCTTTCTAAGTTTTACTTCTTTCTAGATATTTTTTAACTTCTATTTCCTGGTAGACTGGGTAGTCAGCTCTTGTTCCCGAAAGCTGTTTCCCCTAGGGCTAAGATTAGAAACTAAATTACCATGATAGTTTTGTCGCCCTGCCCCTAGCCAGGCAGAACGTTTTCTTTTGTTTCGTTAATTACTGAAACTCTGTCTGCTTCAGCCCATGGCCGCCATCTTGGCAACCCTGCATTTCCTTGTTCAAGAGTGTGACAGCTACTATTTGATTTTTAGAGTAGACTTGTTAGGATAAAATATATACATGTACACTCATAGTTGCATAAATTTATGCTTGCTGTTTTGTTTCCTTTTGCTACATTATTCAAGTGTAATAGTTACTATACGATTTATAAAAGAATTAACGATAAGGTATTAGCTTAATAGGATATAGCATAGTATTAAAGTCCAATAACTAGATCATATAAAAATTAAAGTTTAGACATATGAAACATATGAATTATAGTAAAGTTTTGTAGTTTAAGAATAAGTTTTAACTGAGTTATAAGGCATTACGTTAAATCATAATAGGATAATAGTATAACTGACAGTTAAGTCATTTAACTAAACTTACAGATTATAGTATAGTGTTAAGTTGATAATATCAATCGCTAAAAATATTTGGAGTCAGTGAACTTGGATTGAACCTAGAGTTAACTCAGAAAAGTTTTTTTGTATTAATCAGGGTATAGAGCAAAGAGTATAATATGAATGATTCATTGAACATTATGGAAAACACTTTGAACGATTTGTATTGAAATTGTGCACCTGTGACCTTAATGTAAGCACGGCAGGCATCATGGAATTCGAATTGTTTGCTTGGAAATTGCAGATCTCGTGGTGGTCTTGTGATGCATAGTTTGTAAAGCACGGAACTTGTACGCCCCCAGTAAGTGATTATCACACTGCTGGAGGGTATAGAAAATGGTATATAAGTTGGAAGGAGTCTGAATAAAATTTGGCTCCAGTCCTGATCAGACTGTTCCCAGAAGAACTGCCTCCGAGTAGTCTCTTCTCGCTGTCCAGATTCTCTGGTGCGGGTCCTAACCCACCCTTGGTCAGTGCTGGTCACCGACAGTATATGATTATAGTCTATATACGGTTTCATCAATGAGAAAGTACATAAATATTTGAACATTTATGCTATTGGCCTTATTTAAACAAGATCTGATTTAAACTAAAATATTCTCTGGAAAATCAAAGGTCACCTTGACAACAGTTGTCAGTGCAATTTTAGATAACTGCTGAGCAATCTAAGGATGTTAAATAAACTCAAAATTACTACAGATTAAGTAAAGACCTAGTGTTAAATAACCAAATTAGATTACATATGCCCATAGAAAGTAAAGAACCACATCTCTTTTACTCTTCTAATGGCAACCATTAAAATTCTGTAAATATGTCAAATGCTTAGTAAATGCTTGTTAAGAAGTACACATTTTTAAGAAAAGAATTTTTAAGAGAACACAATCAGTATGGCTGAAGCTCACACATCTGTAACCATTTATTCAGAAACCGAAGCCCATCAGAAAGGAATCTGAGATGCCATGAGATGCTCTCTCTCTTTACCAAAGTATTATAACTTAGGCTAACTTAAGGTCAGCAAGACCCTGCTGCTTCTCTATATTAAGCAAACATATGATGACATATCATCCACCAAAAAGAAATCAGCACAATTGCCTCCAACTATTAAGCAGCTTTGTTTGGTATGTCCAAGAGACAGACTTTAGAGGGTCTCTTTTAGTTTGCCTCAAATATTTTTAGAAGCACACAGATTTGTATACCTAACCCTGAATTGTTTGTTTTTTTTGTTTTGTTTTGTTTTGTTGGGTTTTTTTGAGTTGGAGTCTCATTCTGTCGCCCAGACTGGAGTGCAGTGGCCGGGAGCGTCAACCTACTGGGCTCCGGCGATCCTTCCGCCTCAGCCTTCCAAATAGCCAGAACTACAGGCGCGCGCTACCATGCCCGGCTAATTTTTGATTTATTGTAGAGATGAGACCTCGTCAAGTTGCCCAGGCGGGTCTCGAACCCGTGGGCTCAGGCAATCCACTCACCTCAGCCTCCCAAAGGTGCGGGATTACAGGCTGAGCCACCGAGCCCAGCTCCTAACCCTGAATTGTACTCCACATCTTTCTAATAAAAAAATTTTTAAATTTTAAAATATAAAAATTAAAAATTAAAATAAAAAAAGAAGCACACAGACTATAAAAGAAAACAAAAAATATTTGGGGAGGGGAGCTATTGAGGGAAAGGATGTCAAGTTCAGCTCACACGTTCATCTGCTCACACCAGTGGTTTTATTTAAACTAGAAAATGTTTGTGCTTCCCCTGTTACAGTAAAAGCTAGGTAAAAGTTCAGTCTGAAACCTCAAGAAACATATTCAAGAGAACAAAAACATTAACTTTTCATGCTTTTCAATTTAAGCCAAGCCAGGAAAAATATACAAATTGTCAGCTATGAATATTATAAGAGACTGAAGAAATGAGAGGCAGAAGGAAAGTGAGGTGGGGCATAAGGGAATGCAGTTTGGCCAACTCCTTGTCTCCAGAGAATACAAAACTTTTAAACAAACACAAAGAATAAAAGAGCAATAAAATCACCATTCTCTAGCAAATAGCTTTCATTTTTCAACACTTATTTGAAGAAAGATACCAATATCCCATAAACAAACTGTCACCAAACATGGCAATTTCACTTTTTCTGTAGTCTACACTCTCAGGTCCAGTGAAACTTCTGTCTTCCAGTGAGTCTTCTGTCCTTCTGGGCCATAGTTCAAACAGGACCAGGGAAGGCCAAAGTGCCTAATCTACTTTCTAGTTTCTAAGCTATCCCACTCTGTCCTGCTGAGCCCCATTGAATCTCTAGAAGGAACTAATTCCACAAGAAGTATTCAGGGTAACGTAACTGTGAACAAGTTCTCCTCCATGGCCTGTGTAACCCGGTTAATAAAACATCACTTGCAGTTAACAGGCTTGTAGCCAAAAAGAGAGAAACAACCAAACCCATGCAATAAAGTAGCCTATATCATACCTTCTCCGTTTATTATGAAACACATAGGCCCTATCACTAGGAGAAGCAACATGAAACCAGGTTCTTTTACCACGAAACCAATGACAATGTACTTCGCCAAGCCTATGATATAAACAGTGGAAAATAAAATGATAGTAATATAAGAGAAAGGGACAAAAACAGCACATGGTGAAGAGCATAAAGAGAGCCACTGTCAATTGCCTCAGCACTACCCAGAAATTTGTTCACTCATTCATTCAACAAGTATTTACTAGATGTCTACTATATACTATATACCTGTCACCAAGCCTGCCTTCAAAATCCAAAAGATCTTTACCCTGAAAAGAGACTGCCTAAGAATATCCAGCTCAGCGACAGTAAATAAGCATCATTACTCAAAACGAAAGCAAAATACAAAGAAAGCCGAAATCTAGAGAATAAGTCTGAGAAATTCAATTCCTAGAAGCTAATATTTACAGCAAATTCCAAAGGAGAGTATCTTTTGTATAATGAATAGTCTCACAGACATTTAGCTTTATCATAACCCTAAAAAATTTTCCCAGTATTGACATCCATAAAAATAGCTCTCCACTTGAACTAAAACTTATCTAATAACTGGAATAACAATGTTTTAAGTTATGTTTTAAATTTAATAAGGGCCAAAATGCTGAAACCAAACCATAATTATACTAGACCTGTACCCACAGAATCATGTCAGAGAATGAAACCTGATTAAGTCTCAAAATAAGTGTCTTGAGGCCTGACTGAGTGAAAACAACCAAAAAGTCAAGCAATTGGAACTGTAAAGAAAACAAGTGAGATTCACCAAAGAAAATATACTTCAAACTACTATGACTCAGCATCTAATCGATTTTGTTGTCTGTGAGTGTAGAACATTTCTTAAGACTCAAGAGTCCTAAGTACCCAGAATTGACCTCTTTTAGTCATAGGTGATCCTGGACACAACTTCTGGGAGGCAAGGGAGTACAAAGAATCCTCTGCTAGAAATTCAAGTACGAGACTGAAATAATAGACTAAGAAAACATAATATTTATCACAAAACTACAAAAGAGGGATCAGCAGTAACAAGACATAGCCAGGGGTGGGGGGGGGTGCACATAACATCACTAAGGGTACCTGATCCTAAACCATGGGAAATGAGGACCAGTGGGAGGCCCAAACTTCACCTGCACATAGACCACTCATGCACCTAAACCTGACTTGTACCCTATATCTTTAAAATCAAATAAATAAATAAATAAAAGTAAATTAAGCACTATAAATGAAAGGGTAATAAATCATATCTTGTCAATTAAAAAAAAAGTGATAGCCTAAGTATCTGAAAGAGTAAATGAACAATAGGAAAATGCTAACCAAGACAAGATAACCTTCAACTCAGTGTTTTGTGTTCTCTACCAAGTCAGTACTAGGGAATAGCTATTCTTGTATATTATGAAGCCCAGTTTGTAACATAAATACAACACTTTTAAAAAATGTTTCTTACCTGAGACAGAGTAGACACAAAGTTTTCTAGAATGCAACACAGCCAAATGCAGTAGTTCAGAACCTCTGAAAAACAGAGAAAGTTTTAAAAGTTTTAAAAGTTTTAAAATATTGGTTTCAGATGCAACCAAAAGCTGTAAAATAATTTCAAAAATGCCAGGCATGGTGGCCCACACCTATAATCCCAGCACTTTAGGAGGCTGAGGCAAGAGGATTGCTTGAGCCCAGGAGTTTGAGACCAGCCTAGACAATACAGCAAGACCTCGTCTCTATTTTTTTTAATGTTTTTTAATTAACTGGACTTGGTGGCATGCGCCTGTAGTCCCAGCTCCTTGGGAGGCTGAAGAGGGAAGATCACCTGAGCCCAGGCGTCCAAGGCTGCAATGAGCTGTGTGATCAGGCCACTGCATTCCAATCTGGGCAACAGAGTAAGACCACAACTCAAAAAAATAATAATAGTATCATAATCACAGACACTGTGAGTAAACAAAACAATGTATTAGATAACATTCAAACTGAAAAATAAATTTAAGGATAAACAGCCAATTTTACAATCCCAGAGCCTCAAATAACTCTCTGCCTCAGGGCTCTGCCTTCAAACTGAAGCTAATGGAACCTCCAAGCAAGAGTCAGATCTGAGGCCTTCCATGAGTGCTATGTGTTTCAATAAAGATATCCAGTTCTGACTAATTCAACTGTAACTTTGAGCACGTCACACAATTTCCCTGAGCCTGTTCCTCCTTCTGGAAAATAAGAAGTTTTGGTTAAATGAAAGAAAATAATGTGGAAGTACCTTGTAAAGTATAAAGCACCACAAAATGCCAATTATTATTAGTAAATAGCATATATCACTTCCAGCTCCAAAACTGTATTGAAAATATTTCAGTTTGAAATAAATCTCAAATAAAAATAAACTATTGACATCACCACTACACTTCCCAGCCCATATCAAGTGGTTTTAGAAACAACATCAAGGCACAGTCTAGAGATCCTATGTTCAGTTTTCAAGGGTCAAACCAGTCGTTGTTAATAAGTAAAGGATGTAAATGGCTGTGATTAAGTGAGGACTGGGACCAAACTAAAGGAGGTAGCTACTATTTGGTTCTGGGCTTGTGGCCAGATTTTTCCATGGAAGGCAGAAAGCAGAGATTTTCTCTTGGTTCTTAAGTGTTGGCATCTCTTTTAAAGTTAAAACACTGTACAGGCTCACATGTGCAAGCAGGACTCCAGTGTATAACCTCTGATATACAGTCCTTGTTCTAAAATACCAGCACTATACTTAAAGTCTGAAGGCCTAAATTGGAGTTTTGACTCTGTACCTTACTATATGTGTGATCATTTAATCTTTCAGAATGTTAGTATCTCATTTACAGAATAAGAATTGTAGTAGATATCTGCAAAACTTTGGTGCAATGAATATATAAATACTCATTACTCACTCTACTACCAGAAAATGCAAATATACACAACTATCACATAATCAATATTGCACTTTTGACTTTTTTTTATATGTACCCTGGACACACAATTTTTGTACCATGCTCTGAAAAAGAGCATAATGTCACAAAAAGTCTAAAGTATGCAGTCAGAGAGACATGGGTCTGAATCTTGGCTGTGTGACTTTATACTCTGAGCTTTAGTTTCCTTATCTCTAAATGTAGATCATATCTACATAACAAATAAGATTATTAAGACAATGTTTATACTCACTAATGTTAACCTCCTCCCCTTCCAACAGGTGATCAGAGGAGAGCTACACTTAAGGATTACGATAAAGAATGATTATTCTGTTTCACTTTTTTTTTTTTTTTTTTGAGTTGGAGTCTCACTCTGTCGCCCAGACTGGAGTGCAGTGGCCGCTTCCGGCCACCGCAGCCTCGACCTGCTGGGCTCCGGCGATCCTTCCACCTCAGCCTTCCAAGTAGCCAGAATTACAGGCATGCGCTACCACGCCCGGCTGATTTTTTTATTTATTGTAGAGATGAGGTCTCGCTGCCCAGGCGGGTCTCGAACCTGAGGGCTCAGGCAATCCACTCACCTCAGCCTCCCAAAGGCGTGGGATTACAGGCTGAGCCACCGAGCCCGGCTGTTTCACTTTTTTTAATGGATAGGTAAAGATGTCTTTTAGAGACAAGAATCCTTACTGTATAAATCCATCTTGTCTAACATATCCTAGATATATGATGGGTACCTAACCATCATCTGTTTTTATTTATTTATTGTTTTTTTTTTTTTTTGAGTTGGAGTCTTACTCTGTCGCCCAGACTAGAGTGCAGTGGCCGCTCCCGGCCACCACAGCCTCGCCTGCTGGGCTCCGGTGATCCTTCCGCCTCAGCCTTCCGAGTAGCCGGACTTATAGGCATGTTACCAAGACCGGCTGATTTTTTGATTTATTGTAGAGATGAGGTCTTGCTGCCCAGGTGGGTCTCGAACTCGCGGACTCAGGCAATCCATTCACCTCAGCCTCCCAAAGGCATGGGATTACAGGCTGAGCCATCGAGCCTGGCCATCATCTGTTTTTAGATGAAGTAGATATTTACCAAAACCTCCCAACCCAGCCTATCACAATCCATAAAAGTCTCATATCCTGCCCTGGTCTTACACATCCAAGCTACAGCTTCCCAATATAATGAAACATACCACTAGAAGAAGGTAAGTGCTCATGAATGGTCGTTTGGTTTTTCAAGCAAGAGTCAAGGCCCTGAATAAATGGCACCTAAGACCAATAAATTATGATGAGCAACCGGAGTGTGCCAAAATCTAGAGCTCAGGACACTGCCCAGACTAAAGAGGGCAAAAGGGGGTTCAAAAGGAGGTAAACCAACTCCACCTACCTGATAACTTTTCACAATACTTTTAAATGACTGAGAAACATAAGCTTAATTTTTTAAAAAGTTCAAGTATGAATATAAGAGAAAATCTGCAATATCATCAGTAAATAAAAAGCAAACATATTATTCTATGTTCAAAGTAATGAACCGTTATCTAAAATAAATTAGGTTTAAAAGTAAAGTACTTTGAAACAAAACTCTTATAGAGATAAGACCTACTTTGTGGGTTAAGCTGACTTCTTTCAAGAAACCACAGGACCGCTCTACCCCAAATAAGTAATTCATTTTAAAACCTCAAAACTATGTGCCAAAGTAATAGTGATCTGCTACTTCATCTAATTATTTCAACAGACACATAACTTAGACAATCTGTTCTTTAAGCAAGTAAATATTTCCTACTTCTTTATTTGGTTATTTTCAAAAGCTTATCTCTTTTTCTGTAAGCTTCTCATAGGTGAGGCATCTTAGATCTGATACTATAAAAAGGTCCTAAATTATTCTATCTTAAATGTGTAAGTTTCCACATAAAAACATTCAGTACACGAAGAACATCTAGGTGACAGCATGCAGAAAATATATTTAATTCATGGACAGTCTTTTTCAAAAAATCAACAAAAGTGACAAAGTAAGGACTGATATACTCCAAGTACAATAACAGATTTAGTGGGCTGTACTCACGAGACAAACTTTCCTACTTCCACTTGAAGTATTGGATCTTGTAGATGTACTTCTAGAAGCAAATCTTCCGCTTGAGCTCCATCTCCTGTCTTTACCGGATGGGGGTTAAAGATTCTTAGATATCCCATAAAGCTACCCACAATTATTTTATCTGCATAGAGATGTTAAAAAACAAAAAGGATATAGGAAGAAACAAGCATTAGCAAATCTCTTTGGAAAGAAACTTTCTAATGTCCAAAAGAGAAATCTAAAAATTAAAAGAATCCAGTATTGTTTCATATACAAAGGTCACTCTGCCAACAGAAGATGGAATTAATTAAAGTAAACTTATAACACATAGCCTTTCATAGCCTTTCATAATTAGATTTACATCACCAATATTCAAATGTACTAACATTATATTTTTTCCTAAGCCTTTAACTCAATCAAAGTAAGGGCTAGTATAATGGTGTAAACTGATTTTATCAGAGTATCAACTCTGCAACTGGCTGTGGCGTCAAACACTGTAAGAGGCCTGACAATTAAGTTTACGAACTTGCCACTGTGTGCTTATGCTGGCAGTATTGTACAAACAACATGGTAAGGTTTTATAGCCTTGGTATATCAGTGTCTCAGAGGTGTGTTCATGTCGACGTGTGGTGGTGTCTTGCTGAATGGCATTCATTATTGTTGTTGTATGTTTTGTGTGCCATCACAAGAATGTCAGAGCTTGAATTAGAGCAAAGAACAAACAGTAAATTTCTTGTTAAATTTGGCAAGAATGGAAGTGAAATCAGGGACATGATAACCTAAGTTTATGAGGATAATGACATGAAGAAAACAGCAGTGTACAAATAGATTAAACGTTTTCCTAAAGGGAGAGAAAGCGTCACTGATGAAGAGCAGTCAGGATGGCCAGTAACAAGCAAAACTGATAAAAACACTTCAATAATTTGCTGAACTGTGCATCAAAATCATCAGCTGACTGTGAGAAGTAAAGCAGAACAAATAAACATCAATAGAGAAACAGGAAAAACTTAACTAAAAATCTTGGCATGAGAAAGGTATGTGCAAAAATGATCCCAAAGAAGCTCTTGCATCACAACAATGTACCAGCATATACAGCACTGTCTGTGAGGGAGTTTTTAGTCAGTAAACAAATAACTATATTGGAATACCTTCCCTACTCATCTCATCTGACCCCCAGTGATTTTTTTCTTTACCCGAAGACAAAGGAAATATTGAAAGGAAGACATTTTGATGACATTCAGGACATCAAGGGTAATACAACAACTGTACTAATGGCCATTCTAAAAAAATAGTTCCAAAACTGCTTTGATGAGTGGACTGGGCACTGGCATCAGTGCACAGCTTCCCAGGGAAGCACATTGAAGGTGGCTGTAGTGATATTCAGTAATGAAGTATGGAGCACTTTTTCTAGGATAAGTTCATGAACTTAATTGTATTAAAAATGATTCTGAGGCCTCAACACATAGTGTACCTTGATTAACAACATTTAGTCTTTTGTACAAGAGGTGAAAAATGGTAGGATGGGTATTGTGAGTTATATTGTGTCCCCCAAAAAAAGATATGTTGAAGTCATAACCCTAGGTACATTTGAATAGGATTTGGAAACGAGGTCTTTGCAGATATAATTAAGTTAAAATGAGGTCACAGTTAAATAGACGTGTGACAGTACTCAATTAGCCATATGAACCCTCTAGTCATGTGGGACCTTGTGTCCATCGCAAGTGAAACTCTAGTGATCTGGACAGCTGCTGCCACAGGCCAAATGAAGAGAAAGAAGTTATGCCAAACCATTTGCTTTATCTAAGGGAACTAGATGATTTAAAATAAGAGAATGATAGGTTTAAATCTCAAAACAGCCATCTAAGGTCAAAGAATGAAACTCAGGGTCTAGCCAGGAGCAGCGGCTCACACCTGTAATCCCAGCACTTTGGGAAGCCGAGGCAAGAGGGATTGTCTGAGACCAGCCTGGGCAATGTGGCGAGACCTTGTCTCTACAATAAATTTTTTTAAAAATAACCAGGCTCGGTGGCTCAGCCTATAATCCCGCACCTTTGGGAGGCTGAGGTGAGTGGATTGCCTGAGCCTGCGGGTTCGAGACCTGCCTGGGCAGGTGAGACCTCATCTCTACAATAAATAAAAAAAATTAGCTGGGTGTGGTAGTGCGTGCCTGTAATTCCGGCTACTCAGAAGGCTGAGGCGGAAGGATCGCCGGAGCCCAGCAGGTAGAGGCTGCAATGGCCGGGAGTGGCCACTGCACTCCAGTCTGGGTGACAGAGTGAGACTCCACTCAAAAAAAAAAAAATTAGTTGGGCGTGGTGGCGGGTGCTTGTGGTTCCAGCTACTTGGAAGCCTGAGGTGGAAGGATCATCTGAGCCCAGCAGGTCAAGGCTGCAGTGACTGTGAGCATGTCACTGCACTCCAGCCTGGGTGACATAGTGAGACTCCTACTCAAAAAAAAAAAAAAGAAACTCAAGGTCTTTGGCACACTGCAGAAAGAATTCCTTACCACGTTTATCAGAGGGACTTAATCACTGAGAATCTAATCTGTAGACCAATTCTTTGAGTTTTCAATTATGTAACAAAGGAGTTAACAAATCTCTCCAGGTTTCTTAAGTAAAGGCATTGATAAGAAAGAATGGGATTATACTGTTGTAATGGAATCATCAGAAGAGTCTAGAAGACGTGGAGAAGACTTAAACCACCAAAATTTTCTAAAACACTTTCCATTGAGCTTCCCATGTATCCTGTTATGCCCTAATTCCCATATTTACTCACTAAATAACCAAGATTCAACTTCAATATAGTCCTATCTTCAGAGATAAGAGGACGACAAGATGGCCAAGCTAAATCCCTGAAGGAAAATGTGTAAGTATGATTATGAAAATAATTTACAGGACTGTTATAGTAAACAGAACTCAGGTAACAGTCTGAACTTCACAGATTTCAAGCAACAGTTAATTAATACGGGAGTCCCAGGAATTAATGAATAGGCAGACAGGCATTAAATAAAAAGCCAACTAAGGACATTTGCTTTTTTTTGTTGTTTTCTTATCAGATGAGGTCTCATTTTGTTCCCCAGGATGGTCCTGAACTCCTGCACTCAAGCAATCCTCCTGCCTCAGCCTCCTGAGTAGCTGGGACTATAGGCACATACCATACATAGCCAATACTATTATATAAGCCATTACTATGACATATGGTCTTTTTTTTAAGTGGTTTATTACTTTTTTTTTTTTTTTTTGGCTGAGTAGTATTCAATTGTAATAATGTACAATAGTGTGTTTATCAAATTAAGGCCTTTTTTTTTGGAGTCAATAACCAAAAATACTCCAGGTCAACAAAAAGAGAACTAACTCAAGCTACCATATTAAACAGCCATAGCTTCTCACCCATTCTTATTCTCTTTTTTTGTTTTTGCAAAACTGAGAAATGTAGCCCCTAACAGGATTTAACCTTAAATTACCATACTATTTTTCCTACTCCTCTATCTTATTACTTTAAATTTTCCTTCTCTGTGTCCTTCCCTCAACTATTATATATAGGATTGTAAACAGTATATGTACCAGTTAGTCTAGAGGCAGCAGAATATTAGAGCAGAATCACGACTGAATAACAAGAGAAACAAACATCACCCAGAGATCCTTGACTTGAAGGGTTCCCTCAAACTACCTCTGAAGCAGTGGATACACATGGTTATCTCCCACTACAGATGAGTAAGAACACATGTATGTATAGTTGTACAAGGTATACTCTATGTGAGGTATAAATACTGAGTCACTAAAACATAAACACAGGAGCTGCTTTTCATTAAGTCCTCTGTGTTTTCTTCTGATTCTAGTAATAAACTCTCCCTCCAGGACACAGCTAATCTAAACTGGATTATTCAGATTCCCTTTCTCTCCTTCTCTCTCACTATCTCTCTCAAGAGTCTGAATGCTGAGTTGAGAGAATCAGAAAGAAAGGTACCACTTTAAATACAAGTTAAGCCGGGCTCGGTGGCTTAGCCTGTAATCCCACGCCTTTGGGAGGCTGAGGTGAGTGGACTGTCTGAACCCATGGGTTCGAGACCTGCCTGGGCAACTTGGCGAGACCTCATCTCTACAATAAATCCAAAAATTAGCCGAGTGTGGTAGCATGCGCCTGTAGTTCCAGCTACTTGGAAGGCTGAGGCGGAAGGATTGCCGGAGCCCAGCGGGTCGAGGCTGCGGTGGCCGGGAGCAGCCACTGCACTCCAGTCTGGGCGACAGAGTGAGACTCCAACTCAAAAAATAAATAAATAAATAACTAACTCAATAAATAAATAAATAAATAAATAAATACAAGGAGTTCAATTTCAATTGTATTCTCAAGATTCGCAATTAATTATTCTATTATGTATTAAGTCAACTTCCCCTAAAACAATTTCAGGATGCCTACCTACTACCCTCCTCTCATTCTCTGATCGTCTAAAAAAAAAAAGTAGGGGTCAACAGACTTTACTGTCTCAACTTCCCAACCTGACCGCAAACTGCAAATTTCTCTATGTCTATATCCATTCTGCCTTCTGTCACAGTAGAAAAAACTTCCCACACCTATTCAAAGTTAACCCTTCCATCTGTGCACCTACCATCTCTGACAGTGTTCTCTGGATCCCTGCTCTATCAATTATATCATCTATTCTACACATCGAATTGTTCCCACTTCCCTCGACCTTACATTGCCTCCAAATCACCATCCTCCTTTCTTCCCTTCACAGCTAAGTTGCTTTGCAGAACCATGAACACTCAGTCTCACCAATTCCCACTCATTCCCACTTCACTCACCGCAAATCTGGATCTCATTATCACTGTGCCCACTCATCCACCTTCATCACAGACGCTAATGAACCACTTGCTGCTAAATGGCATGGAAACTTCTCAATCCTCTTATCACTAAACCTTACCTCCCAGATACCAGCCCAGCTGATTCTCCTGCTTCTCTGCCTGCCCTTCTCAGAATCTGTTTCTCTACCCAAACTTCCCCCTTCAATGCTCACATTCTCCAGGTTACAGTCCTACGCTTCCTTCCCTCATATTCCAACTTCTCTTCCTGTGCATTTTCACCCGTTTTCGGGGCTTCAAATACAACCAGCATGCTGCTCATTCCCAAGTCTCTACCTCTATTCTGTATACTAGACATTTCTGCCATAAACATGGCATATCCAAAACTGCTCTCATTAACCTTCCACTCCATAAGATCAACAATAATCGCTCTCAAACTTTAGAGTGCCACCATACAACTTTGGCACTTGTAAAAAAAAATACAGATACCTAAATCCTACCTATCTCCAGAGAATACAATCTTATAGCATCCTGTATGTCTGGGATAGAAAATATTCATATAAAATAGTCACCCCCCAGGATATTAAGATGCAAGTGTCCAGGCTTTGAGACACAATGATCACTGTTTTTGCCTATGTTATGATGTTTGTACAGCATGCTTGGGAAAACAGAGGAAGCTGCTCAAAGATAACCACAAACTGGGGAAAGTAATATCTTAGCATATTGGTAACCCACTGGCCACACCCCAGTGAGCAGCTCCAATAGAAAAGGATGAGTGAACAGTATGTTATTTAGACAATGAGTAAGTATAGTTTCCAACCAAGCTGAACTTGAGATAGTCTAGGCAGAAGTGGGTTTAAAATTGTTCTCTCTGGCAGGTGTTTTTGTGGCATGACTCTTTTATGTTGCCAAATAATTGAGGAATCATAAACTTTAACAAACAGTTGGGTGGGCAGAGATAATCTCTAAGGAACCTCCCAAGGATACCCTCTGAATCGAAGGCCTTCCCATCTCCTATACATGGAAGGGCAGGGCCCAGATTTTCCTTAGAAACAAGGAAACTCAGTGTAGGTATTCAGTGTAGTTTAGTACCTCCCACTTTTCTTCTTTGCCAACATAATTTTCTCCTTCCACCTTTCCCTCCAGATCCTACTGTTTTTATTATTGGCAAGATAAACAGAATAAAGAAAAATGTAAAGGGACAATATATATTATACACTTAACAAAAGAATGGTTGTAAATTTTCTTTTTGAGAAGCTAATAATTATCCGGATTTTTTTTTAAAAGTCCATTACTATTATTTAAACCAAATGCAAATTTCAAATAGCAATGACACAATGATACAGAACTAAACTGTTTAAAGTCACTTAAAAAACACGAAAATGTGAAGAGGAATAAATAATATAAGAATAAGACAGAAAGTGGTTTTAGTATTATAATGAGAACATAAAAGCAATGATTTAGCCACTGTTTTCTACAAACAGATAGAGTTAGCATAATTTCATTATGGTATGAATGGCTTTCAGATCCAATTTAAAAAATTATTTTTCTCGTAAATAATTTCTAAAAAATTTTTTTTTCAAAATTCAAAATATTTTACTAACTCTACAAGACCTGATTTTGCTACCAAGGAAAACAAGTGAAGTGATGCCATACAATTGTTTATAAATTCCAGCAAATAATATGACAGAATCAATACAAGCCACAACAATATGAGCAACAAAACAGAAGGAACTATATATATCATTCTACTACCTAAATATTACTTATAAGACAAACTACCTTCAAAATTAGGACACAATTATGACCGTTCAATTTAGTTCTATAAAGTACATATTTTTTAAAGTCACTTTTATTTTAAAGTTTTGCTCCAAAATGCATGATTATAAATTGCTTACCATGTCCATTTCCACTATTGTCAACATCAGCCAAACACAGGCAGCCTTGATCAAATTCTTCTTTTTCTCCCAAAACAGTAGACCACCAATCACGAGCTTTAAATAAAGACATTTTCTTTCACTCTAAAAAGAAAACATTTATTTAAAATAAAAATCCACTTCACACTATGAATTAATTATCTCTTAAGGCACAGAAAATCAAACTTGGACACCTTTAAGAATATTTCTGTAGTAACTTTAATTTTTTACATTTTGTATACATATATAAAACCACAAATTCAGATAGGTGGAAGCATTAATCAGAGATTTTGCAACACCATTAATAAATTTATGTTGAATTAATTTTTCTTCTGAGACATTTAGGAGAAAACTGCATCAAGTAACAAAAAACATTCTTTAGAGGATCAAAATTCAAATTCTACCAGCATAAAAGTCTTTAGTGAAATACCTAACTTTCTTTCAGTCTCGTCATTGTCAAGGCTGCACCATAGTCAGTCCTCTGTATCTATGGGGGATTGGTTCCAGGACTTGCCCCCCCCCCCACCAGATACAAAAACTGCTAATGCTGAAGTCCCTTATACAAAACAGCTCAGTACAATCAGCCCTCCATATTCATGGGTTTCGATCCTCAGCTGGTTGAATCCATGGATGACAAAACCAGGAACATAGAGGGGGCTAACTGTATCTTCTGTTACAAAGAGTTGCTGAGACAAACAAATGAGGTCAAATGCATCAAATGGTCAACACTAGAACTGGTACATTACAGGTACTCATAAAGCATTTACTCCTTCTCGGCATTCTAATTGTAAAAAGGCAAGATGGAATAGGGAAATCCACACCCCCACCCCCAAAAAAAGGAAAGGTCCTTTTATACCACTAATTTCCTGTGTGTCCTCAGGCAACCCAAATAACCTTTCTGTACTTTTATTTATTCTCTAGAATGAGCATATACCAGCCCCACAGACCATTGAATTATTGATTTGCTATATGTGAAAGCACTCAGATCTTTTGAATTACAACATAGTATCACATGGAACTCTACAAAAAGTTCATTTATCTAACATAAATGAGGTTTTTCTTCATGCCACACTAATTTAAATGATAGCTAGGGAAAGCAGTCAATCTTTATTTGCAACAGTTCAATTTTGCACACTTTTTTTTTTTTTGAGTTGGAGTCTCACTCTGTCGCCCAGACCGGAGTGCAGTGGCCACTCCCGGCCACCGCAGCCTTGACTTGCTGGGCTCCGGCGATCCTTCCGCCTCAGCCTTTCAAGTAGCTGGAACTACAGGCACGCGCTACCACGTACAGCTAATTTTTTGATTTATTGTAGAGATGAGGTCTCACCAAGTTGCCCAGGCGGGTCTCGAACGCTCACCAAGTTGCCCAGGCGGGTCTCGAACGCGCGGGCTCAGGCAATCCACTCACCTCAGCCTCCCAAGGCACGAGATTACAGGCTGAGCCACCGAGCCCGGCTTGTCACAAGCACTTAATTAGCAAATACTAAGCCGCTGCTCTGAGGGGAAACACATGGTTAGGTTCCAGTGAACCTATAGTCACATTTTCATCAACCAATCAATAAATAATGCTACTTACATGTGTTTCAGTTTAAAGATACCTTATTGAATACACATTGTTGATTCATTACCATGGAATTCATGCCCAACTGCACTATAACTCAGCCTGAATGAAACTTATCTAATTACATGTATAGTTGCTTTTCGACTTAAAATGGGGTTACTTGTAAATTGAAAGTATCGTAAATGCATTTCATATACCTGAGAAGAGATCAAAATTCAACGTATGGTTTTTACTGATTATGTAGCACTTTCCTGCAATCCTAAAGCTGAAAAATCGTAAGTAAAACCATCGTAAGTCAAGGACTATCTGTATTTTCTCCATAACATACATCATAGCCTTCTTGCACTTAGGAACACTAGACAGCACTTCAACATTACATTTGAGGGTCATTTTAACAGTGAAATCACCTCCAAAAAGCACCACAGTGTGAAATAAAACATAGCACTAAATATTTAAGACTATAAAAGTATGAGTGCTGAAACAAAATGCAGTCACTTTGTTTGACATCAGCTGGGACTATGTGCATCAGGTGACTCAAATTTTCCCAGCTCTCTGCACCTGACAAGAAATGACTGCAAAGCATTGCAAGCATTGATTTTGAAATCACAAATAAATTTTAGCAAATTCACCAAATATAGAATCTACAAATAATGAGGATAAACTGAACTTTCTTTTAAAATGTAGATCTGTTTCTTAAAGGAGGCCTTCCACATGGGCTAATCATAAAAACCAAGGCTATTTGTTTACATACAAAGTTGGCCAAGAAACTGACTGTGAATAATGTGGTGGTGAAAAGTATCGACTCCAAAGACCAGTATGTGTGAGTATGAATTCCTGCTTCACCACACACTAACCATGCAACCAGAGGAAGTTTACTGAATCTCTCTCTACTTCAGCTTCCTCATTTACAAAATAAAGATAAGAGTGGCATTATGAGGATTAAATAAGAATGCAGTAGAGGCAACCTACAGAATTGGTAAAGAACTCCTACAACTCAACAACAACAGAAAACAATTTAAAAATGGACAAAGGAAGCTTAGTAGACATTTCTCCAAAGAAGATATATAAATGGCCAATAGGAATATGAAAAAGATGCTCAACATCACTAATCACCAGGGAAATGTAAATCAAAACCACACTGCAACATCACCTCATACTCATTAGAATGGCCACTTTCAAAAAAAAAACAGAAAATATTTAACCTAAGAAAGCTGATTACAATTAAAAAAAAAATTTATTGGTAAGGATGTAGAGAAACTGGAAACTCTGTGCACTGTTAGTGAGAATATAAAGTGCTGTAGCTGCTATAAAAAACAGTACGCAGGTTCCTCAAAGTTACTGACACAAGTTTTGATCCAGCAATCCCACTTCTTGGTGTATATCCAAAAGAATTAAAAACAGAATCTCAGATTTGCAAACACAGATTTACTGCTGCATAATTCACAACAGCCTAGAAGTAGAAGCAATCTAAATGTCCATCAGCGGGTGAAGGGATAGAGAAAACGTGGTATACACATACAATCTAATATTATTCAGCCTTAAAAAGGTAGGAAATTCTGACACATGCTACATGGATAAACCTTGAGAACATGGCTGGGTGTGGTGACTCATGACTGTAATCCTAGCACGTTGGAAGGCTAAGGCAGGAGGATTGCTTGAGCCCAGAAGTTCAAGTTCAGCCTAGGCAACATAGCAAGACCTTGTCTCTACGGAAAACAAAAAATTAGCCAGACATGGTGGTACATGCTTGTAGTCCCAGCTATTCAGGAGGCTGAGGCAGAAGGATTGCCTGAGGCCAGGAGGTCGAGACTGAGGTGAGATATCATTGTACCACCGCACTCCAGGCTGGGTGACAGAGTGAGACCCCACTAAAACAAAAACTTTGGGGATATTATGCTAAGTAAAAATAAGCCAGTCACAAAAATACAAATACTGCATTATTCCACTTATGTGAGGTACCTAGAGTATCAAATTCATAAAAACAGAAAGAATGGTGATTGCCAGAGATAGGGGTGAGGGAAGTTGTTATCTAATGGGTACAGAGTTCAAATTTTGAAGAGCTCTGAAGATTGGTTATACAACAATGCAAATGCAATTAATACTACTAAACAGTACACTTAAAATGGTTTAGATGTTAAATTTTATATTACATATATTCTACCACAATTTTAAAAATATATATTCCGCTAGGCGTTTTGTAATCCCAGCACTTTGGGAGGCGGAGGCAGGAGGATTGTCTGAGTTCAGGGAGTCGAGATCAACCTAGGTAACTTGGAAAAACCTCGTCTCTACAATAAATCAAAAATTTAGCCGGGCATGGTGGCGTACACCTGTGGTTCCAGCTATTTGGAAGGCTGAGGCAGAAGGACTACCTGAGCCCAGCAGGTCAAAACTGCAGTGGCCATGATCATGCCACTACACTCCAGCCTGGGTGACAGAGTGAGACTCCTACTCAAAAAATATATATATATGATGTATATATATACATTATATATATGTATACACACATATATATCTCTCAACAAGGACAAAGCTTTAAAATAATCAATCAACTAATGTTAAGTTTTAGTTAATGTTTTAATTTTAATGTTAACTAATTTAATTTATTTTAATTAATTAGTTTAATGAATTTTAATTAATGTTTTAAGTTTTAATTAATGTTAAGTTTTCATTTAAAAAAAGGAATACAGGCTGGGTGTGATGGTTCACACCTGTAATCCCAGCACTTAGGAGGCCAAGGTAAGAAAGTCACTTGAGCCCAAAAGTTCTGTACTGAGATCTCATCTCTACCAAAATAAAATTTAAAAATATATATATATAGTCGGACATAGTGGCATGCATCTGTAGTCCCAGCTACTCACGAGGATGTGTTGGGAGAATCACTTGAGTTCAAAAAGCCAAGAATGCAAGAATGCAGGGAGTGAGCCAGGATCATGCCACTGCACTCCAGTCCTGTCTCAAAAATCAAAGAACATAGTATATACCACTCAGTACAATACCTGCATATAATAAGCACCCAAAAAATGTTACCTGTTGCTGTATTTTATCTTTTAATGATATTTTAACAACTTACATTAGAGGAAAAAACTTCAATATCTTGATTAAACAAACTATGTACAGTATATCCACGTAATACCAGTATAACTTAGACATTTTAAAACATGAAGTACTGATACACAGAATTTGGATGGATTTCAAGAGCATTATGCTGAATGAAAAAAAAATTCCAAAAAGTCACATATTAAATAATTTTTTATTTTTTTTTAGATTAGAAAATGCAGTTTATTTAAAAATAAATTAGAGAGAGAAAGAGAAGGGAGAGGGAAGATTCACCTCCCCAAGGTGGGGGAGGGGGCCAAAGCCAGGAAGCATGACAGCAGCCATAGCTCAAAGAGCACACGGCCACACCAAAGTCCAGCAAGAAAAATGGCCCTAAATAATTTTTTTCGATAGTATTCTCAAAATGACAAAATTATACTGATAAAAAACAGATCAGTGGTTGCTAGGGCTGGCAAGAACAAGGTAATTTCTTTGGGATTAATTT